AGCTGGTAAGTCTGTTGGGGTTGGGAGCTGGGTGGGGGCAAGGGGTGGGAGGGAGGGAGGGATTGAGGCTGGGACAAGCTGGCCAGCCAGGGCAGGGGGGCACATTACTCAGGGAGGGGGTGCGGGAGCTGGGAGTGGGGCTCTGGCCTGCTACTGCTTGCCTGAGTGGGGCAGGATGTGGGCACGGCTCACTCTGGGCAGAAGAAGGCAACTGGCAGCAAGGCATAGCCTCTGTTCCTAGTGCTGATGTGGGCACAGCAGTGTGGGGACTATGCCCTGCTGCTGCCCAGAGTGAACTGCACCTGCATTGATGCATGTAGCCACCCCAACTCCCAGCTGAATTGAACTGGGGGCTGGAGAATTGAACTGGCTCGGTTCCCCAGCCCCTGGTTCAATTCATCTGGGCAACGTTCAGCCCCAGCTCCCAGATGGGTGAGTGCAGGGCTTTAAGTGCCGTGAGTCTGGGGATGGGGTCGGGCAGGGCCGTCATGGGGCTGTGCCTGCCTCGCCCCAGCTGATCCAAATAACCAAATCTCTCCAAATCAATGCTGAATCTTCTGAAGCTGATTTGGCTGAATCTCCGAATTGAATCGCTGTCCGCCAGATCCGAATCAAATACGTCCCTATTCACACAGGCCTACTAGACAGGTACCACAACATCGGTAGCCTGTTCCTCAAGTGAGGTGCATGAAGTTTTTTTTTGTCTAAGCAAGTTACAGGTACAAATGGCAGAGAGATCATTATTTTGAGAATTTTAATTTTATTTCATGCTGGAGTCAGCCTTGTGGTTTGGGATGAAGGAGGTCTTCTGCCCTTTGCTTTACTATCAAGAGCAAACCACAAGATCAGCTAATACCTGGACCTTGTGGTAGAGCCTCCTCTGCTCTACACTTAAGGATAAGCTTAGGAAATGTAGATAGTAAGGAGTGGGGGATAGTATCTCTTTCTTTGTCCTTTTTCTGACCTCTAAGGACACTTTTGGGGGGTGAACCAAGTAATTTGAGAGGCTGTATTTGAGGACTGTAAAATGGAATGTAATTTTTAAGTGAGTCTCCAAATCTGGAGACCAGATGATCTATTCTTTCTTATGTTTTTCTTTAATACAAGTTACATGTCTTATGGGGGGTGGGTATCAGGAAATAGACTGAAGAAACAACTTTTTTTTTTCCCCTTTAGTCTTCCCTGCCATAGCATGGGCTCTCCAGGGCTGAATGCTCATGACTGCACGTATTATTCATCCTCTCCTTCCAGCTCCAAAGCTGAGGCTTTAACCCGGTCACAGCCACTGCTAAATTGTCACAGCTGCTACAGAGCAGGCAAAAGCTGATGTCAAAGTAAAGCTTGAGCTGGAAAGAGGTGAGTGTTACCAAGTTTCCTGCCTGTGCTGAAAAAGCAGTCCAGCCCTGGCAGCCATTCCAGCACCCCATGCCTCCTCTGGTGTGGAAATCAGTCTCCTTACTTAAACATGCACCCTGATTTTTGGGTGGCTAATTTTTGGGGAAAAGGTGAATAGTATGCAAGTAAATACAGTAATCATATCTGAAAGTAGAATTAATGAATTAGTACAGGGACACACAGAGCTTGGTCAGTACTTAGCAACGAAGATTCCTTTTTTCTGTTAAAAGGAAGTTGCACAACAACATTTCTTCACAAAAATATAATGCCCAGTAGTAAATACCCAGCTGAGTTATTACTGGATAACACAAAGCTGTTGTGGTGATAAACTATCTTGTGGAACTACTGCACCTGTCTTTACTAGTTGCAGTCCCTGACCCCATAACAAGGTCTGCATTGGATCACTTGGCATGCTACCTATCCAAACAATTATAACTGTTGCAATTTTACTTAAAATACTTGGAAGTATGTTCAAGTTTCTATCCTATATCAACTGTCTTCCTTCACTTTTTTTTACTTATGAAAAAAAAATTTCAGATGTTTCTTTTTCTAGAACTAAGAGACAACATTCAGTTTAGTTTAGTATCAAAAACTACAGATTTTAGCTTGTGCTGTGAAGCTCGCCATGTTTAAACACAGCTGAGTCATGGTTTTGAAAGTCATGTAATACATGTGTTAAGGAGTTGTGTTTTGCAAACACTGTCAGACTGAATTGAAAAACAATAACTTCAACACTAGCTTCAAGTTGTCAGCTTGAGAATGACTTGAATCCTGGTAACCATTTGAACCTGTTATTGTAACATCATTTAAAAATGTTTCTATCCATGTGAAGAAAAATCCTATTTAGCAAGCATATAAAGCACCACTGATTCAGCATAATTTTAGACTTGTTTGGTTGCTTTATCACTCTTGCAAACCAAAAAAAGAGGATTTTCCCTTTTCTAATCTATGTTCTTCTCTTCAACGATTAAAATAGTGAAATTATTCTTTGGGACTCCTCCTGCTGTGTTTGGCAGCAAATCAGTACTATGCAAGCATTGAATATCCAGCACTAGTAGGATAAAGGGTTGTAGCTTGTCCTTCTTCAGACTTATCTTCTAAGAAAAAGCTTTTTAATACATTTATCTGAAGTGAAGCCAGTATTATCTGAAGCATGCATTTCTGGTCCTAGTTATGCATTTTTTTTTTATTTTTTTTACACTAAAAAAAAAGAGTACTAAAATTATTATGGTGCTGTTCTTCTAGGTGAAGTGAGAGGTGTGATTTAATGTAACAAGCAAAGCCCACTGTGCTAAGAAAGCATAGAGTGGCATACAAGTGATCTGAGATGGAAGTGTAAGGGAGGAGAATCTTTCTTAGCAAAAGGCATGGGGAAATCATGGTCAAGGCACTGTCACTGCAGAGCATGATGCAAGTCTAGTAAGCATTTTTAAACTGAGAAGCAATTTTAGGCTTACTGAGTTGATAGCAGGGTCAGTATTCGTTAAAAATAACCCACAGTTTTGAGATGAATGTGTTCCACCATTGGAGTGGCCGTGGGACATCAGCAGAAATGGTGAGCCAGGAGAACCTGAGTGAGAGAGAACAGCTTCGTATAGCGATGAGGAAGGTCCCAGACAAACTTCTCGCATCATCCTAAACAAATCTCTTGATTCACAGGAAAATGTTGTTGTCCTCTGTGGTTAAAGACTTCTTAAATGGATGACACAATTTAAGTAAACCTATATTGTGAGGCATTGTGCCTAGGCCTTAATAATAAATTAGTCTCATTTTAGGCTGTTGCATGGTATAATCTGTTTGCTGCCAATTTTTGTGATCTGACCTTCAGGCTCATTTGTAACAATGGGTATGAGGCACTGAATTATATCGAGTGATTATTTCCAGGGTCAAAAGATGTAAGGATGCTGTAATGGGCCATGGGCATACAGTTCAGACTGTCTTGAAATTCAGCAGCAGAGAGTGAATGGGGGTGTTTATATCTGGGGTTTTGGCTTGGGCCTATCTTTTTATAGAAGATAGTAGAACTGAATAATGTTTTGACATGTTTGCACTCCAATGTGCTAGACTGCAGATTCTGAAATTAAATGCATCTCTTCCAGACAAAAGGACATGAGGTAATTGCTTCCACGTAAGCTTTATAGTATAGCGTGTGGCTCCAAAACAGCAATACTTCAGGAAAGTAACCACCTCCAGCAAAGTGTTTAAATAAAACTCAGTTGCAGCTTAATGTCTTCAATGAGCAAAACCCTTCCAGGAAGTAACTGTCAGTAATCGAAACTAC